CGATATGATTGTGGCTGGCTGACTGGATTAAGTTCAGGTGACTGAGGTTGTTATTTTGTATTTTAAATATTCATTGTTCCAGCACGCAATCCCATAATTACGGTGCTTCTCAGTTACAGTAGATTACTCCAAACACGTAGTAGTTTTGTGGTGGGCATGTGATGACATTGTCTTTACACTGGTTTTTTTTTTCTTTCTCCATGTAGCTGAGTGTAGTAAGGTACAGGAGAGGCTGGATCAGTCCGTAACTGCAGATGCCAGGAGGGAAGCTGCCTGCCAGAATGATATTGCATATGGTAATGTTTGAATTATTACCTATTTCACATGCTTTGACTGAAACGTTTACTTGTTTACTACTGCTGCACAACTTTTTCTTCCAATTGGGTCTTTAGTGATTAAAATTCAGCAGGCTTGGCAGTAGATAATGGTGACATATTGGAGCAGAGGAGAGTAAGTGCTGCCCCATGAGCCTGATCTGATGGGTTCCGCTAATAAGCGCTGCGTTTCTCTTACTGGGTACCATTCTAATGTGGTCATGTGGCTTTGGGGTCAGAGGAAGTTGTGGGGCATCAGATGAGAGTATGGATAGAGCTTCCATCAGATGAGAGCATGGGTAGGACTTGTTAATGTTTCTTAACTCTCCATTGTATGGCTACAGCCATCGTTTTTCCAGAAATGAGTATTGTAAAGGGACATTTTATTCTCCACCTGAGCATCTGTAAGTCATTTAGTACCCATTGCAGGAACAAGGAATAACAAAAACTTTGCTTTGTGTTGTTCTGCAGTTTATAAAGTGAACATCTTATCTCGCAGTGAAGAAGGTTATTTTGTAAAGTATTCTGCGACTCTTCTGGACCTCTATAAAAGAGGTGAGTGTCCTGTTCTTAATCCATTTATTTAGAGTAAAAGCTGTCTGAGACCACTGAAGCAGCTGACAAAAATCAGCAGTCAAAGCCTCATCGTTTCATGAGGGTAGAAAACCATAGTCTCAGATACAGCCTCTGAGAATTCTTTTGTGCCCTGAGAAGGACAGCCTTTGATGGTTTTTAAACAGCTTTTCTGTGTTACAGCTGTTGCTGACAAACCTAAACTATAAGCAGTTAAATGTCTTTTGTGACAAAAGGAGGTGAACGTACTCCATAATCTGTTAATACAGCTGTGAGCTGCTGTTTAAGTGTCTCTCACTCTACAGAATGCCCTCCCTTACTGTACATACAATGACTGAAGTGGGGCACTGTGCAAGGATACACCTTGCCTTAACTTTGCTCAGATTTTTGAAGGTTGGGCATGTTTCTGTTTTGGGGAGAAAGAACTTTAGAATGTTTTTGGGTACTCACTGTCTTGCCGTTGGGAAAGGTGACTGCCCGTAGGTCCTGGGGAACTGAAGCTGATATTCACTCATTTTTCCTCTGAGTATAAGCACCTAATATATCCTTATAATTACTATAATATAAAATCGTTTAATGTGCATGAGGCTTATTGACCATTCAGATATAATTTAAAAAATCTTTTACAAGAAATATATTTTATATCATCAGTTTTTCCTGTTATAGAACTAGTGGCAAATAGACCCCTTGGCTGTGCTGTACTGCACTGCAGAACATTTTGGTGCTTTCTGTCTCATATATGAGTGACTGGAAATTCTCTTTGTGAAATTTTCCCATTCTTGATGTTCTACTTCAGGGCAGGCTTTTGCTAAAAAAAATGATGAAATAACCTTTATTAAAAAGAAGACCTGTACAGATGTTGAATTGAGCCCGGGAGAGCAGTATTTGATAATGGGAAAAGAAGCCTTAAAGATAAGCATTGGTTACAATTTCAAGTAAGTGACTTACCATCAGAATGTGCAGAGATTTAATCTTGATGTGTGCTGTGAAGTGGCAAGTTTGTATGTAATAAGACTTATCTAATATATAATTGATTTAATTTTTTAAGTATTAGTTCGACTGATAGTTACACAATGTTTTCAGATGTGTACATTTAAAACAGGGTTATGAACACAAAGCAAGCAATTTCATATTGTAATTTTTTTTTTTTGACATTTTGCTCCCAAAATCTTAGCAGCATATGATCATTTTTTGTTGTCCTCTTAGATTCCAGTACCCCTTGGACTCCAGCACTTGGATTGAGTGGTGGCCTTCAAATACAGCATGTACATCTTGTCAGGAGTTTTTAAACACAATGGAAGATTTTGCTGAAGATCTCATCATCAGTGGCTGTTGATTTACTTGGAGAATTTTTAAAATAAAAATATAGATCAAATCTCATATATGTAAAAAAAAAAAAAGCCTCTTCTGTTTAGTAATTTTTTCCGGAACTAAACATTCATTAATAGTTCATCTTGAAAAAATGGTCTTTGCTTGTATTTCATAGCCATGTTCTTATAGTAATGTTCAAGTTATTATTTTTAAGCTTGGATGGGAGAATAATGCATGGGTGGGAGAATACTGCAGAGACATTTGAAGTCAGATGTAGCTCTTGAAACACTCCCAGTTTTCCGCTGTGACAGAAACAGCAGAGGGAGCACAAGGACATCATTTTCATAAAGTCCTATAAATATTAGCACTTTGCTTGCCCTCCCCTGCCCCCAGTCTTTTAAAAGACATTTTTCAAAAGTTCAGCTACCGAGAACGATGCAGTCATTTCCTAATGGATGGAAAAAAGTATGTATTTCTTTTCATGTGTGGTGCCATGATATTAATTTCATGTCTGCTGGCAAAATGTTTTTCTTCATGTCACCCAAATTATTTGTCAAAGAAATTTGCCTGTGAGAGATTAACCACCCCACAACCTCTGGGATTCTTGGACAAAGTTGAGGTTCACCAGAGATGGAGCCGTCAGAGGATGCAAAGTCTTTCCTGGTCGGTCTGGAGTCCTGGGCACAGGAGAGGCTGCAAACAGAGATACAACCAACAGGTCAGGGTGCACTACTCCTTTTAAGAATTGTACAATTACCTCATTTTTGCCCATGGAGAAATGTGATATTTGAGAACTCAGAATGGGAAATGAGCACCTCAGTGCTGCTTCCTGCTTTTTACAGAGATAATGTACTCTCAATGCAGCTTAAAATCACAGAAATAAGGAAATTCAGCCTAACAAAGACCTCCTTTTCTTGAATTAATCTGGGTGTTTTCTAGCAAGTGCATTATGTACCTGGTAGCGTGTAGATAGTGACAAGCTACAAAGTAAAACATTATATGAAACAGGAGATATTTTAATTCTAGAATTTCCTGAAGTTTGTGATTTTAGCATGGAGGGTACTTCAGCAGACGAGGTTACTGGGGGGGTTTAATTTTATACTGTTGGTTCATTTCAAAAACTTCTTACCACTGCGTACATTGTGCTGATAATTCCATTGTGAGTTTCTCAAAATTGTTTGTCTTACAGTAAAAAGCTTTGATCTAGAAGCATAAGTGGGGATGCTTAATGTAATTAATTTGCATGAAGAAATCTTGTGATGCTAAAAAGTATCGGTAGCAAAATATGTGCAGTAACAGCCCAGAGAAACAACACGTAAACTAACAAAACCTGCGTGAAATAGATATGAGGAACAGAAATTAGGGAAGTGAAAACCAATAAAATAAAATCTAGAACCATAGAAGGGCAACTTGTTTCTAAATTCAGAAGAGCTGACACCAGAGTAGTCTCTGGTTTGCAATGCCCTCTTCTCACTCTTAAGCTCCTTCAGCCTCACTCCTCTCCTGAAGTCTCTGTTCCTGTAAACCTGCAGCACCAGAGGTTTTACAGAACAAGATTTCTGAGCCAGCTCCCCAGAGGCTCTATTTTTAGGCAACATATGGAGTGATGCCTATTCGAGAATACCAATTATTGCTTTTTTTTTTTCATCTTTCCTCTTAATTCAGTTCATGTCTTCACAATTTAAATGTGTATGCTTTGGGAATGAACAAGTCAGTATTTTTCCAGTTGTCTCACTGGTTTGGTTAGGTAAATCCTCGCTGCAGTCCTTCAAATTTTTTGATCTGCATTTAAGTATGCTATTAGTATGCTATTTTTATGCTCTCCTTTCTTGTTTAAAAAAAAAGAAAAATCCTAAATAATATGAGCATCATTCATTATTTGTATTTTAAGTAACAGTGGACTGAATCAATGTGTACTGCAACTCAGGTATATTTCCAACAAATGTTACTTTGGCATTTGATGACTGAAATGGACAGTTAAAACACTTGCCTTCCCTGCAGGAAAGCAGCAGATGAAGGGCCAAGTTTCCTTCTCACAGCTCCTGGCACAAATCAGCTTGGTTCCCAGTAAACTGAGAAGAGAGTTTGATAGAAAGTACAGTTGCACACATTCTTATTTTTATTGAATAGTTGCCCAAAAAACAGCACATCCAAGAACTTTAAAATTACTGTTTTCCTTCTCTCTTAGGAGTATCCTTGATCCAGAGTGTTTAATGTGTGGAAAGAAGATAGTCACAGATGATGCAACTTTTAATTTTGGCTCCATGAGTTGTTTGGGTTTTTTCAATCCTCCAAACTTTTCTAAGAAGCATAAGAAGATAATGCTGTACCCAACAGCTGGATATGAACTCAAACTGCAGAGAGTACATTTAATGCTTACTGAGGTTGTCTGTCCATCCACCTTCAACTGGTTCTGCTTCTGAACTGCACAATATTGTTGTGAGGGTAACTGCATTATGAGACCTAATTATCTCTCAAGGGTGATACATCTTCTTATAAACCCCTGTTTCTTGCATCTAATCATAACCACAGAGATACTGATTCAGCTGTCCCTGGTAAGGCGGAACCTGAAGATTTCTTTAAAGCACAATGATGTCATTGTATGAAAAAGATTGAATTATATTTAGATGTCATAACCACAGGTCACGCTTCTAAGATATCAGTTAGTTAAAATAATTCCCATTCTTATTGTATGGAGTAGCTAAAAGGGCTTTGAAGAGCTTTAATTTAAACTCTGTCATTAATATACCTTTGCTCTGGCTTGTAGTCACTACTGTTTATAAGATTTGTATCAATCTGTTTACCAATTTTGTATCCACACTGTGTGCTAGGTAAAACCAGATGAAACCAAGAGGAAGGAGATTGAACAAATTATAGCCAAGGATATGAACAAGAATTTTCTTCGTTCAGGTCAATCGGATCCACATGAGGTAAGTTCATAGTTAACATCCAGAAGCACAATGTAGGAAATAGTATTTCATATAAATGGGTTACAAATAAATAATCTCCAGGGAAATAACTCTGTTACAGCCGTACCCCTTAACCTTAATCAATGTATGTATAGCAGGGCCAAATATATTTGCCTATTAACTGCTAATGACAAAACAGAGACATCTGAAAGAATGCTGACTTTATCCAGCAGTCTAAAGTAGATGAAATCACAAAGACAGATATGGTCTTCATGGCTTGTGCAAAACAAACCTTGGGTCTTGTTGGCTTATTCAGAAGTGTAATTTTTGAAATGTAAATTGCACTTTAAAAACTTGAAATGCCAAGGGGCATGTCCCATTTTCGCAGATGTCTTGTGAAACTTAAGTTCTGTTGATTTTCAGTGAGAGTACAAAAAGGCTGTATTGCTCCTGAAGACCTAGGAACCTAACTTTAAAATTACGTATAAAAATGCTGCACTTAAGTATCAAATTGGCAGTCAGTAGTTTAAATAATTAATTAAATCTTATTTATTGTGTGTCTGTTTCTATGCAGAATTATCTATCCCATATATCACCAAGACCATTAAAATATTTTAAATATATGTATTTTATATGTGTATATTTTTCTAGATCTTTAGCCCTGTGTGGTATGGAGGTGTGTAACGTACCAATGTCGGAAGATTTACCTTCCTCATGTGGCGTGGCATGACTTTCATACGAAAACCACATGAGGGAAAGGTACATCCATGTCTGCATCTGTTTCACACATGCAAATTATGGTGGCAGATTTCCAGCAGGTCTGCTTAGTAAGAGAAGATGGCAATGATGTGAGATTCATTTTTAGACTCAACTACCGTACTGACATTAGTGACTCGTAGTCAGAGAGTTCTGAGGTACTAAGCAACTCACAGGATTAATCCCAGCAAAAATGGAAATTCTCGGAATAATCACAGTTTAGATGACTCATTTGTATTATGAAATGGTAATTATTTCAAAACACATTCTGTACTTCCATGCTTACTGGGGATCCTGGACATCAGAAAAGTCCTTTTATATCTGAATTGTACACAGTGTTTTTCTATCCTTGGTTGTTTATATACATGGTGTGCAAGTCTCCAAATGTTCCAGGCTCTGAATCACAGGGTAATAGCTTTAGTGGTTCCAGAAAAACATGTATTTGACTGCTACACTTCTGCAGTCTGCCCAAAGGCCAACCAGCCCCTCTCTGCAGGATCACGGGGCTGCCTACATTTTCCTGCACTTGCCCAGAAAGCTGTGTAATGTACTCCAAATTTATTCTCGTGTCTCCTAGAACAGAGCTGACTCAGCCTCATCTGTCAGTTATGGCAAGATGCCAAGGGCCACGTACGAACAGGATTTTTAGTGTCATTTATTGACATAACAGCATATCATAGTCAAACTAATCACTAGGAGCAGCTCTGAAGTTCACTCAGAGACATGCACAGATAACCTCTGAAAGCAGGACCCGCTACAGTCGAATAAGTGAGTTTGGCCATTATACTTTGATTCCTTTTTAATATATTTCCCAGATCATAGAATCATAGAATGGTTAGAGTTGGAAAGGACCTTAAAGATCATCTCATTCCAGCCCCCTGCCCTGGGCAGGGACACCTCCCACCAGACCAGGTTGCTCCAAGCCCCCTCCAGCCTGGCCTTGAACCCCTCCAGGGATGGGGCAGCCACAGCTTCTCTGGGCAACCTAGGCCAGGCTCTCACCACCCTCACAGTGAAGAATTTCTTTCCAGTATCTAATCTAAATCTCATCTCTTTCAATTTAAGGGTTTTTTTAATACATCCATGCCTTTAAGTCACTGTCATCATTCTACCTTGGCTGACCTGAATAAATACCAGGTGAAAGAGAAAATTGCCTACATGAACTAGCAGGTTGCCAATGCAGGTCTCAGTTACCACATAATTTTTCTTTTGCTATGATGGTACACACAGAATGTGAAATCATCTGGAAACGGAGAAATATTTACTTCTTCACACTGAGTTGTTTGTTCAGTGTATTTGGGGAATGTAACCCCAGAATATCACATCAAAATTATTTTCTATCTTTGTGGAGTGATGAAAATGTTCAATCCAGGCAGAGCCACTTCTGAGTCAGCAAGTGGGACCCTGCATTGGGTGGAGCAACACAAAATCCTAGAATTGAATCCTTAGTAAGATTTCTTTCATGTTCAAAAATCTTTTTTTTTTTTTTCATAAATAATCTCAAACTCTCATTTCCACAAACAAAGAGTTGTGGAATCTACTGGCAGGGGTCAGTAGATAGATTTAGAGTAGGAGTGTGGGAGAGATGAGTGAAAACATACGAAGGAAATCCATTTTTTCTTTTGAGTGAATATTATTTTGTAATTTAAAAAAATCACTCTGTCTGAGAGCTGCCAGTTTGGTGTTCATCCCTCAGGAACTGTCTCCCTTGACCCTACCTACAGAGACTTATTTTCGGTCTATGTAAATGTTAATGTTTATGCACGTCTCCCAGCAAAATGTGTTCTTAATCTCCTGCTGAATTCTTACATCAGAACACACTGAAATTTGGCACGGCCATCAGTTATTTTCCAGTAAAAAACCACCTTATAGGAGTTACATATGCTTTCAATCTTTAAGATATTTAATAATGTTTTCACCTCTAATTAGGAGAAATATCTGGGTTTGGCTCTTTCATTCTCCTGGGAACTAAGATTTTGGGTTTGCCAATTGCTGGGTCATTACAAAATTCCATTCTTCGTGTTAAATTTTGCTTTTCAAGTTCTGAATGAACTTGGAATTTGGGTACGTATTTAAGCAGCAACTGATTTCCTGGAAAATACTAAACTGAATTAAATGCCACAACAGTCATAAAGAGAATATTCAAGTTTAGAAAACAAAAGATATCTATATTCAACCCTTTTTTTTCAAACCCAAGAAATATTTGTTACGCACAGGTGGTTATTTATAAAATAGTTATATTTACCCATGTTCATAGCTAGAAGCCATGATTATTCCAAAGGTGCTGTGGTTCACACTATATTTCCTTTACTTCTTTGCTACTTGACAACTAAAATGGCAATTTCTTTTGCAAGCAAAGCAAACAAAAAGTTGTATTTGATTCACTTTGAATCAGCTGAGATACTAAACCACAAAAATTGGGGTTTACAATGGAAAATCAATTTTTTTCCTTAATGAGAGCAGCCCCAGTGGCGCCAGTTAGAAGTGCTCCAAAAGAAACAGCGAGAGGTTCTGAGTCTGGGTTTCGTACGCTGCGAGCTGGTTTCAAGGAGCCCTGACATGGACTTGCATTGTCTAATTTGGCTTTGCAAGAGTAACCTCAAGTGTGCATTCTTTCCACTGGGATGTTATATGTTCTCTGCAGTTTATACCGGGAGGTCACGGAGCACATCCACAGCTAATGCAAATCAGCATTGTTGCAGTTATAGTGGAGGAGTGATGCTTTTTATTACTTGATATCTAGATCTGTAGATACAGCATTTTCTTTAACTGAATCACAAGAAGTAAACATCAATATTTCTTTCCAAAGAGAAAATATTTTATAAACATCTTGCACATCCACGCACAAGGACATTCATATCTCACTGTGCCAATTTGTACCTGCTGAAATGTGATTTACAATCTATAGACATAAGTGCTAGTGTTGGTGACAGGTTGGGCATAAACTGCAGCTGTAACTGCAGACTCTCACTCACTACGTGCCTGCACTGTCTGTCTCTGCCAGAGTCTGATTAGCCAGTGTTCCTTCATTATTTATAAAAAGCAATATGCCATAAAAATGTCATTTTCACTGCCCAAATCATAAAATTTTCCATAAAAGCCCACTGCTGTAAGGTCCCAGGGAATATTCAGCCCCAGGCTCTGATGGTGACGTACAAATAGGTATTAGTTTCCACCATTAGTGTAATTCCAAAAATTTGGAGTCTGCAGTCTACACAATACTAAAAGGTGTTTTGTTTCTAACCCCAGTCAGTTGTGATATGTTTGAATAGTATGCATTGAATAATCATTTTAAATAATGTTTGCAGTTGCTTTTGGTGCAAGGGGGGCGATTCAGAGATACAGTTATAAAACAGAACTGGAAGTCAGGAGGTCTGTTTCAGTCCCGATTTTTGCTAAGCTTTCCCCTTCCTGCTATGTCCAGCAATGGTTTTGGGAGAACCACCTTGGGTGATAATTGCAGCACCAATCCCCAGAGTTCAGGGTTTGCTGTCGGATAAGGGTTTTCAAAGCTGGCAATAAAAAGCATTAACTTGCTGAAATTTAGAACAGGGGGCAAGGACTCTTGTAAAGGCCTGTCCCATTGACAGAGAAGTCTGGAGATACACTTGTGGCAGAGATTTCGGTTCCTGGGATGCACACAGTGACTGAAAAGGCAGCACATGGGGTTTTTTCTGCACCAAGTACCTACATGTAGTCAAAGATGTATTTTCACTCTAAAACTTCAAACTCCATGAAACTTGCCCAGCTTGTGGTTACGCACAATTACTCAGCCCAAGCTGTCAGGGGAATCTTCTTTGTGTCCCTGGTGTCATTTGTGGCTTCCTATCAAAGCTAAATAACTTCACTGTTTCGCAGTTTCCACGTGACACTGAAGGAACCTGGCAGGATCAGACAAGCTTCTGTTTCGGTCAGGAATCTCAAAACCAAGCTAGGATGAAAAACCTCCCATGGAAACATGAGGAGTCTAATTAATCTGTGATGTAATTTAACAGGATTCCCTGGATTCATACCAGAGGTTGGGGGAATGTATCTAAACCCACGTGAGTTCAAAACAAATTCTTAGAAAGCCACGTTCCTGCGTATCCCCTGTCTGTGTCCCCTGGCCCCATGTCTGCAGTGGTCCTGCCCATCTCCATGTCCAGTTCCAAACAGCTCCAGGGTGAGTCCTGGCAGAAGGCAATAGCCTAAAAACACTCCCCAGGGCCCTGCCTGCCAATCCTGGGCTTTGAAGCTAAATATTCATGATAAGGGAAAATGTTAGATGTGATTTTAGATAACCAGATTAAAAAATGCCAAATTTCCTTCCTGTGCTTATCTTGCCACAAAGAAAATACAACCTTAGCTTGTGAAAACTTGCCACAATTCTGAAGTGTTGCGCTACGAAGCCAATCTGTATTTTGATTTCTTCCAGGATGACCCATCGTTACTGAACCTGGACAGATGGGAGCATTCATTTCCTGAGCAATTTGTGCCCCATTCACTTGCTTTGGGCTTTCGACATCCAATTTGTGGAGCAGATGTTCGACACGGAGTCACAAGGTTTGTTTTCTTGGCCAAATTCCAAGGACGCTGCTGGGAATTTGTATGTGATGATGGGCTTTTGGAGTCCCATCACTGGCAAAACTGCCAAGATACTTGGCCTCGTGAGAAGACTTTCTACTCGGGGAATTTAAACACAAAGTCTGCTTGCCTCTGTTCAGAACATAGACATGGCTTTCTCTATGCCTGCTTTCTCCTATATCCTTCTCATACAGGCTTCTCCCATGTTTAAAATACACTTTCCTTTCTCCTTCAGATTCCTCCTTAAAAACATCTTGGTTTGTGAACTCAGGAGTTTTCTTTCTGTGGCAGTGTTTTGATGGCAGCTTTGGTTTTCTTCACAGTATCATTTTCCTCCTGTGAAACCTTGGATAACACTCGAAATTTCTGCATTCCCTGAGTTTGTTGCCCATAAAATACAGGTACAAATAGAGATTGTTGGTGTCATTGTGGAAATTATTCAGGTTTATGAACCATACTGAAAAATACTACTGGAAAGATAAGCCCAATGCTATTATCTCTCTACAACAGCGAAGTGAATTATGGACTCAGTGGAAAAGAGATGCAAGTTAGTGCAGAGTCAGTCTCTTTCCGCTTCTATCACATGTAATAGAAACATCTAAGCATCTCATTATTTTTTTTTTTGCTTTTATTAGTAAAATGAGTAACTTCTGAAAGGTTAGTGGAAACTTACTATAGCCTTCCCTCAATTCTTGTCATTCGTGAGAATTAATGAAAATATTATTAAAGAAACCTGTTCTTTCCTTTTTCTGTTACCGCTAATTAGTCCTTACTCAAATGTGCTGATTTTCTGATAACTGTATAGGTTTCTATAGATAATTGTATCAGCTTCTATAGCAGAGTGTAGGAGTGACCTGAGCTGTCGATAGAATATCCATATTTTGCCAGCTGTTTTATAGTCAAAAGATGTTGAATCTGAACTTGTTTTTTCATGTTACATCCAGAGCTTTGGAAGAGTTTTGGCAGGTTTCCTGCTGGGCACAGCTCCCATTCCCAGAGTTCTCTCCAAAGCATTAAGAATGGAAATAAGCAGTGAAGAATTTTCCAGTTTAGCTCAGGCTCTGTGTACGTACGTTAAAAGAAACAGAAGCATAACCACAAGTACCAGCATAAGCCCTTGATGGAGACAGGCTGCAACAGAAAGAGCTTAATCTGGTGAAAACTGTCACAAACTGGTCCATGTTGGCTTTACATGACTGCACCCTTTGTTTGTCCTGACATGGAGACGTAGGGACCGAGACAGGTATGTCACCAAGAAGCTGCTTAATGGAAAGAAGCCTGGTTTAGGCTGCCTAAAATCAGAGGCAGGCTCAGTAATCCCCGAGTGATGTTTTACTCTGGAGTGGAACTGCTTATAGGAAACCACCAAAGCCACTATGACAGAGAGAAACACTCCAGTTTTCCTCTTCTCTCCAGGGTGATTCCTTGGCTTATACTGTGGAAACTGCTTTAGTGAGTGACTGAAATAAGATAAATGGTATATAGTGTCCGTTTTATGGGTGCTTTTTTTCTGACAAATGCTGAAGCGGTGCTTCACAACATCTATTATTTGGAAAATAAATAAATCACCAGGAAGCTGAAGATAATACTATGTCACAAAGAACACGATCTGGAAAAAATCTTGAGGCAGAGCTGGGATCAAGGATAAAAAATTGATTCCTGATGTCTCTTTGAGGATTACAGTCCGACTTTTAGGGAATTCAGTGGGAAACTTTCCATCTCCTGTAATATGAGTTGGTCTGGGTCCTCAGATACGACCATACCAAAGCAGAGCTGCAATGGATAGTAAGCACAGGCAGATATTACAAAAAACTTTTAAAAGATTTTATTGTAGACGAGAGATTGAATTGAGGCAAAGCTGTCCATTTTGCTGAGGATAACAATATATCAAATTTCACAATTCTTCGTGTTGTTTTTTTTTTTAATTCATCTTGGAAGATGAACTGATGAAATGTCACAGCTACCCTGTTGTACTCCTATTCCTGCGGAGCTTCAGTCAGGAAAGAAGTTAATAAGCCCAGAGGTTAATGAACTACTTAATGTCAGAGCTACACACAGCCATGAATCTTGACTTGGAGCACTCGGCTCCAGTTCCTAGAAGTACTGTGTCTCCTGGGCACTGGATCTTTTACTGACAAGTTTTCCTTCCTGTGTTTTACCAATTTTTCATGGTTTCCTAGGAACATGTGCATTTTTCCAGATAACTTATATTAACTGAAAATTATGTTTTCATAGAATGAGACATCCCTATCTCTAGCATCTCTCTGAAATGAGATTATCAGCCCTGGAAATACTACTTGCGCTTTGATTACAATCTTTTAAACACTTAGCATCTGAGGCTGAATTCCATATTAAATGTTTCATTAAAAATCTCACGACCTTGGATTATTTTAAAAAGATAAATATATTCCCTTATGAGCTTTTTCTTCGTGGATGTAAAAATGATGATACCTTAAATAGTAACAGAGTGCACTGCAACGCTCAGCGCCAGGGAAATGGCTCTACAATAAAGTTAAGCTTCAAATTTTAATCTCTTTCTGAGCCACATCCTGTTTTCGGTTAACTGATCTCATAGGGGGGGAAATTTACCAGAGGAAATATCTCTAGTTTGGAAAGTACCAAAAACTTATCTTTAGTTTCTTTGTGTAATTCAGCACCTTTTAAGAGAGAGGTGTAATACTTTCGAGAAGTCTCAAAGCAAAAGGAAAGGAGCAAGAGAGCAGCAGAGAAAGGAGGAGGCATAGAAGTGCAGAACAGAAACTGACCCGTTGGTGTAACACTCATCTTTCTGAAATTATAACTTACACATCTTTATATTCTGAAAGCTTAAAAAGCCATATCCAGAAATATTTTTAAAACTTTTTCAGGAACTAACTCACATCTTGGCAGATTAACTTGCCATGAATTTTAACAACCTTGATCACAAAACACTGAAAGCAAATGTTTCAGGCTGTCAGGACTCCTCGGACTGTGTCACAATTTCCCCATAGACTTTTCACTTCAGTTCATACACGGCCCCAATGACTCTGTACTTAGAGCATCTACAAAAACCATTTACAATTCAGAGAAGTAGAGAGAAGGGAGTGGAAACGAAGAGACATTACACGTGATTCTGCAAGTATTAGTAGGAAAAGTCTTCCCACTCACACAGGTGGATGTTGGCATTTAAACTGGAAGCTTTAAAAATAACTTTAGTAATTATAGAATAGTTTGGGTGGGAAGGAGCCCCCCAACCCCTCTGCCCTGGGCAGGGACATCTTCAACCACTGCAGGTTGTTTAGAGCCCTGTCCAACCTGGCCTGGAATGTTTCCAGGGATTTGCCACCTCTCTGGGCAACCTGGGCCTGGGTTACACCACCCTTAGTGGTGAATAAAATAATAATTTTTAAATAATAAATGGAAGTGACATCCTTTTCCTCTTCCACAATTTCATCACCAAATCTTTCACGCAGTCACAAGGTGCCTGGATGCGAGCTCTTGTAAATGCAGCAGAGTAACACGCCGAGTGAAGCACCGAGGGAACCACCTCCACTTTTTATTTTTAGTTTTGGGCTAGGACTCGCCCCCAGCGGTATTCCCCAATTTTATTTCGCCAGGAAAAGCTAACAGATTTGCATCTGCAACTTTCTCTCTTCTGATGGAACCCGAGCAGACGGGGTGGCAGCATGTGATTTCATAGTGAATTTCTCAGGGGAAAAGAGGACCTTCTTCTGATAGTGAAACTTTCCTTTGTAGAAATCTTCACTGCGAGCGTCTCAGAAGGATTTGCATACACTACTTAACTTTTAGCCTTGTGTTGTAAATATGATCTGCGGCTGAGGGCAGCCGGAGGGGGAGGCAGAGGCTCCCCGGAGGGTTCCTGAAGGAGAACGGAGCCCCCCGCTGCCTCACCCCGGGGCGGTGGGTTTCCCCGAGCGGGCAGAGGTGTGGAGAGGGCATTTTTCACAGCTGTGGTGCTCTGGGCAGGCAGGAGTTTCTGTCTGAGTGACAGGCCCGGGTGACCGGCCGGGAGAGCCGCAATCACACCGCTTTCAGGAACCAGCCACGCACATTCTCCATTTCAGCCCGGGGAATTTGCTCCTTCGGGCCTTCCCTTAGTCAGTTCCCCATCCCTGTCCCCGCGGGTCGCTACCGGTTACCCCTCCCCGGGGGGCCGGGGACTGCCCTGGGCGACGGCCTGGAGCCGGGTCTCGCTTCCCCGGCCCCGGAGGTGAATTTCGGGTCTCCCGCTCCTCCCGGCCGGAGCGAGGCGGTAGTAACCGAGATTCGGAACGGAGCCGCCCGCTCGCGTTTCCTCTGCCGGCGGCACGGGCGGCCTCGACACCCGGCACCGCCCCGCTCACCCTTCGCCCTCCCTCCGCTCCGCTCCGCGGGGCCCGGCGCGGCCTGGGCCGCCCCCGGCCTCAGGTAAGGGGAGCGGGGGGAGAGAGAGCGGGCCCCGCCCGCGGCCTGGGCGCCTCCCGCCCGCTGAGGGGACACCTCCCGCGGCCCCTCTCGGCCTCACCGCGGGCAGGGGCCCGGTACCCGCAGCGCGGCCCGGGGAGGACCCGGAGGGCAAGGAGGGGGGGTCGCCCGGCCTCCGGGGACGGTGCTGCCTGCCCGCCCGCCGGCTCTCCGCCCTGCCCAGCCGGGGATGAAGGGTGCCGGCCCAGCCGGGGCCCACCGCACCCCCTCCCTGCCCCAGCGCGGGCGTTTTAACGGGCGTTATGGGGGTAAAACCCCCGCGGGGGCGGGCGTCCAGCCCCACGGGAGCGACGGGCCCTGTCAGCACGGCCAGAGCTCCGGCGGACACCGGGCGGTCTCTCCTTTGTCCCATCCTCACCTGGGTACCGGCCCCCAAAACCTCTGAGAGCTTCGGGGACCCCTTTAGCGTACACTGGATTTTTAATTTATGGTTCTTGGCAGGCTGAGCGGCCCCTGCCTTTGTTGCTAAGCTCCCCGTCAAACCCCTGGAGAAACCAAGGGGATTGCCTCAGCCAGGGCCTGGAAAATGCTGTTTGTTCAAAGAGGAGTGTTGGAAATGGGGGGGTGCCCCGTGCCCCCCGCGGCAGTCACACCGCTGTCCCCCTGCCCCGGCGGTCAGGCTTCGGTTTTTGAGTGACTTGTTGGTCAGTGTTACTTTTGGTAATACTGAGATGGGTTACTGTGTGTCAATGCGTTTATACTGGGGGAAAAATACATTTATAAAGGCATTGTTACGATCACACTGTGCCAGGTCCCTGGGTGAAAACTTCTCTTGAACTTTCCAAGCGGCCATGGAGACACCTGAATCAGTTTGGGTTGTATTTCCAAAAATACTCAACTGCACAGCTCTTGTTAACCAAACCTAATACCGACCCTGCGCGACACCTTGGCGTGTGTGGCTCAGGGGGATCTGGTTAGAGCACAAAGTTTAAGCTTTTTGTGGACTTGAGTGTTCCTTTTTCATTTCACCACTGGTTTTATGACTTCAGTAAAGTCACTGCAAGCATATCAGTTGTTCAGTTTCTGTGTCTCTAAGGCGTAATCACGAATTTTGGCTGCTGGGAATTGGAGGTGGTTGGGGATTTACTCTACAGGAAATAGTTCTGTGTGGTGTGAACTGCTGGGATTGTCACTGTAACATGATGGCAATATTTACTTCATCTTTCTAGAAGCTAAAAAACTCTGGAAAGAAAACCCCAACCCTTCATTATAATATAATGTCCATTTTCATGTTGTGTTTGAGGGAAATTTTAAATCTGTACAGTAATTTCCTGCTGGTACCTAGTCAAACCCCACTGTGACATTTAGTCAGGCATGTCAGCTACAGACTCAAACAGATCACTAGATCACTGCTCAGGTTGGGAGCTGCTTGTGGCCTTTGATGCCTGATATATTCTCTCACATTAAAGTCAGCGTGTGCCTGCTTATTTCAACACCTTTTTTTTTTTAATTTATCTCTGACAGTCGTTTACTTCAGATGGCTGAGAAAACAACCAGAGACCCACAAAATGTCCCCGGCTCTTCTCCTGGTGAAAACGAGTTTCCATTTGGATATCCCAGCAACGTCTGTGAGGATGTGCCTGATCAGAAGTACCTGTGCAGCAACTGCAATAACGTTCTGAAGAAGGCCCTGCAGACGCTCTGTGGGCACAGGTACTGCTCCGCCTGCCTCTCCTGGATCGTACGGTAGGTCCTTGCTGCAGCAGCTCACGCTCCCGTGGTGTGTTCTGTGGCTGCGAGCGCTCCCCAGAGCTGCATCACACCACTGTGCTCAGTGGATGAGTCTGTGGCCACTTGGCCACTGGACCACTGTCACTTCACTGTCGGTGGTACTTACCTATGGTGGACTGTGGGCTGGTCTCCACCTCCTTCTTACTGGGCTTGACAGATTCCGGTTTTTCTATGTGTGATAACAACACTGGAAAAAGTGATAAGTGATGTTACAGGATTTAAATGAACATTATCTTAGAATTCTATTTTTAATAACTCAGCTGGGTCACTACATGTTGAGGTGCTGCTGCCATTAGTGACAATGTCACTAGTGGCAGCCATTGTCCTGGAGAACCTGAAAACCGAGGGCTAAGGTTGGAATTGGCTTTGATTGATTATCTGCTTCTATCCCGCCTTTTCTTTCAACAATTATGCCTCGATCCAGAGCTTTTTGGAAAAGGTTATGTCTGCCCTGCAGGTCAGAGGTGAAATTGCAGTACAGTGTTGTGAATATGAGCTGACTTTTAGGTTTGATGTTTTGGAAAACTGCAGCTGTCAGGACTCGGTGACTGGGTGTTAGTACTGGCTAAATAAGTCTAAAGGCTGTTACTGCACTTTCTTGGGGGTGTTGTCAGTAAACCAGTCTGTGTGTGCCAGTTCATCCCAGCTCTGATCAGCGTGGGGCACCCAAAAAGCTGAGTCAATGCACTGACCACTTGTGATTTGAATATCAACGTATAATAATGTAAAAATGTATTGAAATTAATGTATTTGACCAATTTACATAAATCCTTTACTGTAAATTGAGAAAAAAGCCCCTTAACAAAGCAGCATAAACCATAAATTCAGAAAACTGTCAATAGAACATAACCGGAATTGTTACATCTTCCCACTGGAGTCTAAAAGCACAAATGGGAAATTGACTCAAACAAGCTAATTAGGACAGTTTGAAATCCGTTGTACTCTGGTCAGATGGATGTTTTTCTGATGAGCTTCATGGTGTTTTTGCATAATTCCTGAAATAAGTAGATTCCCAGCTTTATTCTTTTTTATGATCCAGGCTGCTCTTATTTTGCTGCGATACAGGTAAGATTTATGGGCCTAGTCCTAGTCTTGAGGAACAGAACAGCAGGGGTTTTTTTTAACATCAATGTGTTCAAGAATTGGCCCTTTAATGAACAAGGACTATGGATTCTGAGTAAAAATTACAATTTCTATGTTTTTATTTGTGTCAGTGTCTATACAAAGAGCTCCTAAACTACAGTACAGCAACTGATTGCTATTTCATTCTTCTTTCTTTTTGCCAGAACCAATAAAAATGCGATTTGCCAGAAATGTAAAGAGGAAGATCCCAGTACTTTAAGCGAGGGAAGCCTATTGACAGAAGAAAGGGTAAGTTGTAGTTCACAGTTCATAAATTTGTCATTAACCATTGTCTGGGCAGCTCTATAGTCATCACTGGACTGCAGTTTGGGCAGGAATAATATAAAATGTGATGGCAAGTGATAGTTACACATTCTAATTTATTCTTTAGTTTGGATTTTCCACAGTTTTTGATTTAAGAAAGTGTAATGCCAGCTGTAGGACTTTATAAGTCCATCAGGTTCTGCAACATAAAATCCCACACTCTTCCTTCTAGTGATCTTTTTATTGTCTCAAAGTAACCAGTGCATTCCTACTTGTAATAATTTGTCTTAGCTGTTACTTGTTATCCTCAGTAAGTATCCTAATGGATTTTCAAATCTCATGGTTCTCTGTACCCTTCCAAATGTTACCAAATTTACAGGTGGAGCATCCCGAAGAAGAAATGCTTCAAGAAAAAAAGAGTGTCAGCCAGCTGGCCAGCAGAGTCACCTACAGAGTATTTTGACAGCCAGGGTATCTGGAGGAAATAATGCAAAAGATAGAGCTGAACATAATAATGTATAGAAACTATGCACTGGCAAATGTTTAATCTGTAATTTAACTGTGCAGATCTCTTTTGCTGTTCTGTGATTTTCCAGGCAGAGTGCTGCATGGTTCTGTATCCTGAATGCAAACTTGACCATGAGGCTCAGTCCCAGTTTGTCTTTTTCCCTCCTTTTTGGCTACATGCAGGAGTATAAAGAGACACACATTCTGTCTAAATTTGTTAGGGAAAACCAAAATCCAATAGGGATCTGGCAGCGAGGTAAAATGTGAAGTTTAGAAAGCAGCTGCAGCAAAATAATGAATCTGCAGTTGATGCTGAACTTGGTAATATATCAGAAAAAATCCCAAATTCTGCAAAAATTTCCCAGTAACAGAATTTTATGTATCACGTAACCACAAATAGGTACGACTAAAGCCTTATGAACTTCTTATTCTGTGTTGACTGTCAGTTCTCTTCTAACTTTATGGGATTTCTCTGCTGTGGGATTCTCACTAACTCTGCTGGGACTTTCTGCAAGATCTGTGGGTGGGTGGTTGCGAACGGGGCCCTGCGTTTGCTGGCTGATCTGCCCGGGCAGGTTCTTGTGCCTGGTGAGAGTCCAGACAAAGTCAATCACCTCGAAGGCGTGAGGATCTGCCTGTTTAGATCAATTTACAACAAACCATTGAGTTTGTAAAGAACATGAATAATAAGCATTATTTGGCAGGTTTATTCTTTATATCTATTCCTGATAATCTCTGCTTTATGTTTGCTGTGGTTTTGCTTAATGTTTATTTCCTATGCTGTCTGTTTATGTGTTTATATTTTAGATAGGATACCTACACAAGGAAAAGCAAGGCCCTATCAGGATGGGTATTTGTCTTAGCTCATCCCAAGATCTATTTCTGTGATAACTCCCATCCCTTCCCTATTTTACTTTTAATTTATGATCTCTTCCTATACAACATGTACTTCAAGTCTTACTGTGGTGCTGTTCACCAGTACCAATTTCCAGGCATCTACATCTGTCACTGAAATCAGTCAGAGGGGCAGCCTCCTGAGCCTCTGCTCACACCCAATCTGCTGCCATTCATGGGACTGGCTCAGAGGACAGTGCTCTACTCTGAACTGAGCAGGAATCACTTGGGGCTCTCTCCTCGCTGGCCAACCTTAGTCAGACCACTAGATTTATCCTGGAAAGCTTTTGGTTGGATAGATCTGTTTGTTAAACTTGATGCTCTCAGCTCATCTTCCCAACCACATGAGCTGGAGACCAGAGTCCTCCCTTAGCAAGAGGCCATAAGATGCACATTGTGTGGGTCAGTGTGGAGGAGAAGGGATTCTGGCAGGGGTTCTTGGATGGGACATGGCAGGGGACCTCTGCTGTGTCACAGCCAGCTCTGGGACACACAGGAGTGGGCAGGTATGTGTGCCACGACAGCCACCAGTGACCAGCAGCAGTGGACCCTCTACCAACATCTTCCTTTGAAATGGCTAAAATGACAGAGGGGAGATGTGCAGCTACAATCCACCAAATTAGAGAGGAATATTTTCTGTTTCATTCTGTTTGAGCCAGAGCAATTTTATGTCCATGAGAGTTACCCCATTTACTGTATGAGGGTTGACTCAGGTCCCTAACGAAGTTCTGTGCAAATTCAGGGTCCCAAATAAGAGGGAAGAGGCTCAGGTGAGTGTTGTGAAGCAGTGACCTGCGTGGATCAAAGGAGAGATGAGGATTTCATGCCTTGTCTTTTACTGAGTAGTGTCCATAATGATTTAACAACTACAAGTGTGAAACAAAAAAGCACAGGGAATGCACAGAGCAGTAAGAAACCCATGCACTGCTGGGACTGTCCCTGTAGTTAAATATATTTCAAATGATCTGTTTTGTAATGTCAGGAAATTCCTGGAGTTTTTCTCTTATGAAACGGGGGGAAAGCCACTATGTGCCTGATAACTTGAATTTCTTTTCTTTGATTTTACTCATAAATTAGACTAGAATGTTTTAGAGGATGAGACAGGTATGCTTTCACTAATTGGATGTTGATTGCAAGTTTATTACATACACTCTTCCATATACATACATATACATATTCCATGTACATTACATACACTCATCCATATCCGCAGATGGAGCCATACATGGTTTTGTACAACCTACATGATTATTTTTTTAATTCCTTGTTTGTGGAGTTTTTGCAATTTGTGTGCGAAGTTCTGGACTTTGCTTGCAGGCTGAGAATAGGAAATGAGTTTCTGTGAGACTCTGCATATAGAAATGTATCTCATTGTTGCCATTCATCAAATTGACTGTGCTGCTTTTGTGTGATCTAATATGACAAATGTAGGTAAGTAGAAACATCTTGTACCTAGATTGAAAAAAAAACCAGCGAGGAATGTTGATTCTGGTCATTTTGTTTGCTTATTTTTTTAGCTTGTTGTGTAGAATCTCAGTAACTTTATTGAAATGTGGGCATCATTTGTAAATACTTCCCTCTCTCTCTTTGTAAAGCTTCCACCCCTCCAGCTCTTGCCTTGCGCTGTGTTGTTACAGGGGAAATCTGCAGTCCTCTATGTGGGGTACTTACCACCAGAGTAGCTAAAAACCTTTAGTAGGGCTTGTTCTTGTGTCAGTTTACCTTTTTTGATGTAATCTTAAAAGTGTGTAGTGTTTCAGAATTTACATAATAATTGTACAATTTTTCATGGTCAACATAATAGAAGAATCTACGTATTGCAAAAGAACCCCACTCACATATGGTTTACATTTCTTTAGCACACAGTGCCCTACTAAATGGAAACAGCCATGGTCTGAGAAATGCACTCTCGCTGCACAACAGTCTCAAGTCCTCTCTGCAGCAAGTTTAGGAGGTGTTAATGACCCCAATAATGAAAGGCATTCATTAAGAGTGGCACATGGCAGCACCCTATAGTTAGGGTCCTGTCAGCACATTTCATTGCATGGGACATATTTCAGGCTTCTGTGAAAAGAAACTTCAAATAATAGCTGTAGTTGGCTAGGCATATTTTTAGTGAATTTATGTCACATCAAATAGTTTATTTCTGAACCATAAGAAAGAAATTATTTAATAATTATTTGGGCTTCTTCTACATTAGGATTAACTTGCTAGGTTAGAGTCTTATGGAAGTACAGTAAATTTTAAAAAAATTAAGGGATTTATCAAGATCTGACACAGTCACCTTATTCCTATGTCAAAAATGCTGGAGTACTTCCTGACCAGTGCTTTTTCCTTACTGTGTTTACTTTCCAGGCTTTTGGTGATGCTGCCATTAATAAAGAGATTTCTGAACTCAAAGTACACTGCGTGACCCTTGGGTGCAGTTGGTCTGGTATCATGAAGAATTTTGAAGTACGTTTAAAGGCAGTTTATTTTCTATTTGAGTGCATTCCTCTTTAAGGAAAAAATCTACCCAGTTTGCTTGGCTTCGTAGTTTTGAGAATTGTAGCCCCTCTCAGCATGAATTCATGGCAAAATTGATTTGAGAGTTGGGCGTGTGATTCAAATTGGCATTTCTGAGCCTGTTCTGTAGGGGACAGTCATATCCCTTTAAAGACAAAATCAGTTGTGACACAACGCCTACAGAAGCCTCTGTAAAAGAGGTCAGTGTAAACAGTTTTTATTCACATACCGTGTTTTTAAGAATTGGAAAATAGACCTGTTGGATGTAGTTATGAAAGAAGTAATGCTGATATTTTTGCTTGTTGAGAGGAGAAGATGCAAAAGCAAAAAAGATGCAATTGTGAAAAGGAAACATTTTAAAAATTATTTTGAATATAGGTAAAGGTTGTGTCCTAATTGTTGTGTAGAAGGTGTCAGATGTCCATTCTTTTATGCTGTGGCAGCAGACAAACCACATTCATCCTACCAGCCAGACAAGATGGTCTCAGGGCTCAAAAAAACCAATCCAGAACCCCACAAAAAAAAAAGACAAAACAAAAAAAACACCCCGAAACCTCCCCAGGCTAAAAGTTAAGGATCCTCTAGGACAAGAAAAAAAGCTGGGACCAGAATCATGTTATTTTCAAACAAAACCACTAGAGACACGGTTCAGTGGAGGCCTCATGTTTAAACTTATCAGAAGTTGTTTGTTGTTGGGTTTTTTGAGTTAACAATTAACAAAAAAGCCCCAGTAAAGTTGGTGAATTTTTCACCAGTAATCTTGGTAGCGCTGTGGGGTGGGACTTCACCGCAGCTTAGAAGAAATGCAAAGCAAAGGTCTAGGCTGGCAGAATGGAGAAGGTTTATAGATCAATTACATGGTGGTTTGTGACTTTGTACTTCCAGGAGCATCAGAGTTTATGTGAATATGCTTTAATCCCCTGTCACACTGGCTGTGGACACATGGTGATGAGAAAGAAACTTGCAGATCATTTGGAAAATGGATGTGTTAATAACGTGACGATGTGTCAGAAGTGTAAGCGGAGCTTATCCAGCAGCGAATACCAAGTAAGAACATTTCTCTGTTTCAAATGAGAGCTTTATATTAATGGCTTAAATAATCTATCGTGACATTTTTCATCCCAATCTCAGGAATGCTAATGCACTTGGAGAGTATTTAATTTTCCTGAGTTTGCTAATTTTTCCATGCACGTGTTGGAGAGGAAAATGAGCTGTATTTTGATAGTCTGCTTGTGACGGTACAACAGAGAGGGAGATACCTGTGTGCTCCCCCAGATGTTGGGCAGCCCGTGTTCTAGCCCCTGTCTCAAAGCGTGTGTCCCAGTATGAGGTAGGTAAGAACCAGAAGAGCACAGACCGTGGCAGGGAAGAGATCTTGAAAGTGGCTGAAGTTTTATTCAAACTAAAACTACCCACAGATTTGTAAGGCAGGTTCATCACATGGATGCGATCAGGTATAACTCCAAATTAGCAGCAGTGTCCATATAGGCCAGGAAGAACATACTCTGAATCTGCCCGAAATTTCTCAGGGACTATTTAAACATATTTAATTTTTTATTTTTTTTTTTATGTTTAAGTTGTCTTTCCCACTGTTATGACAAGACTTGCAAAACGTATGTGTACACACCCTGTGTGTGTACCTACACAGGGTAACACTACACTGTCCCCAGCATTTGCTCAAAATCCTCTTTAAAACAACTTTTTTTTAACACAAGAATGTCGTTGATCATGAAACTTTTAAATTTGTGTTACTAAATCTATTGCATTCTTTCTTGAAAGTGATGACTTTCTCGGTCAATGCTCAAAATGACGGTGGCAGGGCAATGTTATGTGTTACTGACTTGTAGATTTTAAGTACCTTTAGACATTCAATTTAACTTAAATGAAAGGTGCTCCTGATTTTTACCTGTTTCTGTAGATGCAGCACAGTACAGGTTCTGGGAGTGGTCTGAGGGCATGAAGTGGGCTGGTAGAAACTCGTGTGTGTTGCTGAAGGAGGAAATGGTGTGGTGGGGCAGATGAGAAGTGATAGATAATTATGTTCTTACATGAAGAGATCGCCAAAGATAGAGCTTCAGTGGCACACTGCTTTGCCTCATGGTGGAATTGACTCGTCTGTGGTTTAAGACATTTTGTAATTAAAAACACCTGGAGCAAAGCAACAGCAGCATGAGTGAGAGCTGCCCCACATCTGTCAATGCTGCTGTGTGAGTTTGGATTTGAAAGCTCTGAAAACCTTCTCACCCCAAACCCACCAAGTTTCTGACCCCGTGGGGTCTATTATCACCAAAAATATTGCTGGGGCGACACTCTTTTGGGGTGTAGCCTAATGAGTATTGTTCCCTCCAGGTGATTTAAAGAGAATAATTGCCAGCCTTGGAGTTTTGTCCTGGAATGGGGCATAGTGATATAGGACCTACGTGGCAGGAGGGTTGTGAGCATCTCAGAAATGTATCCTGAAGTAACTAGTAGAGGATGGCTTTGCATGCCACAACTGTCACAAGTTTATGCCATTCCAAATACTGAGCTGTAAGATTTACTCAACCTGAGGGTGACAGTCCCTATGGAGTAAGAACAAGGTGTTGTTGCTAAAACAGGCTTCTTGAGAAGCTTTTGCATGTGCTCTTCATACCTTACTGACTCTTACACAGAGAGAGAGAAGAATATCTGGACCCAGGCACATTTTACCCGTGCTAAAACCAGTGTGTGTTTCAGAGAGACCATAAATACCAGAAGGTGGCAACACTTAATCCCTCTCAGCCTTGTGTAAGTGCAGCAGCAGCCGGGAGGAGGAAACCTGAGCTGCAGGAGCCTTCCCTGAGCACCTTTCTCTTTTCAGAGGCAGATCCACCTCAGCGGGCTTCGTTTTCCTCCAGTAAAGAACTGTTTTCCTCCCACGCATTCCGGCTAGCTATCATCTAATTAATTTTTTGGTTAGGAAACCTTGGCAACCAAGCAGGGGATTGGCCTTGAGATGTTGATCTTTCTCTGCCTGCCTTAGTTAGGATTTGTAAAATTGAAGTTTCGCTGGTTACATGAGCTGCTTTATTAAATTTGCAGTTACGTGGCATAAAAATTTTGATTATTTGTGTGTACTCCATGTATCCACAATCCTCTGGGAGAAAATAGTGAGTTTTGGGCACTGCCCTTGCTCTCTCCCTCTGAGCCAACCATTTACTGGTCGTGTGATTTTTGCATTTCTATATTTTAAAGACACTTCTTACCAGCCCCTCTCCCCCCTGCTCAAGAAATCAGCAATCTGAAGTGGTCAAATAGCAGAAAGGAAGAAAATAAAGGCACACTTTGTGCAATAGCTAAGGTACAGAGTATCAGAAATGAGTCAGAGAGTGAGAAAAACGTGTGGCTGTATTTCTGAGGGTGGAAAGAGAAACCTTCAGACTCTTTGCAGGGGAGACTCGAGGGTTGCTGCAGTGGCTTTATAAAAAAAATTGTAGACTGCTATAGAAAATGTGCTGGCATGCAAAGGTGTTTGTAAAGATTAAAGACAGCTCCCCTGAACAGTATGAGTTGAAAGCTGACAGTTGCTGTGTTAAATACACATATTACAGCTGCATGAACCAATGGCAGGAGGATTGCTTTACCCTTCCTGGAGCCAGAAATGGCAGGAAGTCCCGTGTTAGCTGTAATGCATTTTGCATTAGCACATCACGATGGAAAATTTGGATTCCAGCCTTCAAAATGTTAATAAGCAGGATGCTAGAAGGGTCTGCACATTGAGGAAACTACATGAAGTCAATGCAAGAAGAGTTTATATTTGGGTTTCCTGTATATTTGCTTTCTGTTCTGTAATCCACCTGCATGTCATATGTGTGCATGAATGTACGTGTGTGCACATAACTATGGTTTGAGCTGGGCAAGACTAGTACATTGCCAATCTTATATCACATTTCCCAGGGTGACCTCACAAAGCATCTGTAAGTAGTTTCCAAGAGTTTTGGGCCCCGTAAGCCAGAGATCACACTTTGTACTTTCACTTAACAGGTATTGCATCTGGAGAATCTCTGTCTTGAATCCACACCTTCCAGGACGAAAGCAGGAAACTTATTGTAAACTTTTTCTTCCATAACACAGAATTTCTTGCAGAAAAGCCTCCCAAATCCCCGTTTCTGTAGAATGGGAAAAGCATTCTCAAACACGAGCTTTGTTTCAAAGACTTATAAATAAAGATGCTCAATGATTTTAATAACGTACTGAATTCTTTTCTTCTTGTTTTAATGACAGGAACATTCATGTGAAGGCAATTTATGTAAGGAACAAAACCATGTGCAAACAGAAACACCATCAAAAGAAAAGGTGGGTAAGAGATGAGTGAATGCAATATGGCTTTATTTCAATTCATGAAAGTATCACTTGGCCGGGAGGTTGTTACTTGGGGATCACTGTGGTTTGTTAAATCATTATGGAATCTGTTAGATGGACACTTAACTGCCAGGCTGCGTGCAAGAAACTTGCAATCAACCACACTCTTCATTGATTTACTAATGAATTTTCAAAGATGGATGGACACCGTAAGCTGTGGTAATGCTTTGACTTGAATTAACCTGATTTATGGCTGCTGGGATTGTGGCCTAGTTGCTTGTAGGTAAATAAAAGAATCCATTTCAATTGGTACTTATTTTCTTTCCTTTTTTTTTTTTCCCCAGCAGAACCACTCCACACCCTTAATCAACAAGGATGGATGTCGTTTTTCTGAAGTGGGCTGTTCGTTTAGGGTGAGTGAAACAGCTGCCTCCAGGAAGGTCTCAGGTGGTGTACAACTCCACACTGTGCCTTTGGTTTAGCCAGCCTTTGTGTGCAAGGGAGTGGGCCTTGATTTAAATATATCTTTAAGAGAAGAGAGCAAGTCTGCCCGCTTCTAGCAGATCAGCAGAGGTGATGTTGGAACTGCCATGGTTACGCAGCGTGTGGAAAGTGCAGTTCAGCCTGTGAGGCTCTTTATCTCGAACTGTGCATTCAAGTCAGATAAAAATAGATGTTTATTACAACTCTGCTGGTTTATCAGATGTGCTGTTCTGCTGTGTTTTGGATATTCCCTTCAGAGTAACGCCTGCTAAATCAGTAACGGGGCTTCTTTGCACTTTAGTTGGCAGCTGTTGCCTTGTTTGTTGTATTAAATATTGGCTTATTTGAGAATCTTGCTAGGACCCTGCCTGGCATCTTGTTTAATACCAAAACTGTAGACAATTGTTTTATGTAGCATGTGTAGACATGTGAACAGACAGCCTAAACCCATCTTTGGAGGGCTTGTTGGTTTTCCTCTCTCCATGTCTCCCCTGAGAGTTGGCTGCTGGAGCTGATCTGTATCTCATGGTTGTTCCATCTCTGTCTCTCCCAAGCAGTGGAAGGGAATGTTGCTTGATTTGGCCCCAGGTCCATAATGGAGTTGTACGGAGGGTGTAGTGACAGTGCCTTCTTCTTCCAGGGAAGCAAAGAGAAGATCAAGGAGCATGAAAAAACTGCAGTTGGGGCCCACATGCTGCTTCTCCTGCAGCACATAAAGCAGCTGAAGGCCAGCGTGTGCGCTGCTGCCAGATCTGCAAACAGCTTCATCCCACAGTCAGAGCTGAGCATGAATGGAGCAGGAAAAAGCATCTCTGATCTCCAGATCCCTGGGGGGCTGGAAATCAACGGGGATCTGGAAGTAGACTGTTTTCCTAGATCTTCTGTTTCTGAAGATGAATCTATTCTGCAACAGCTTGTGAGGGAGAAGGTGATTTCTGAGCTAGAAAATAAGCTGCACGTGTTTGAGAACATCGTGGCAGTGCTCAATAAAGAGGTGGAGACCTCTAATCTGGAGATCACGGCCTTTCGGAGACAGAGTGAACTCGATCAAAATATAATACGAGGCCTTGAACTGAAGGTAAATAGCTATGATAAGCATTGTCTGTGTGGTTGTTCTATAGATAAATATTTACACATATCAGAGAGAGGTGGTGTAGAGATCAGGACAGGGATGGGCACAGGAATTTGAGCTGTGAAGTGTTAAGTTCTGGACACATCCACAGGATCCTTTTGTTGTTTTGGATAAATGGGGATCTCTAATATTTGTTGTCTAAATCTGTGTTTAGGTACCTAGATATTCCTGAGAGTTTTGAATGTTCAGACTTTGCCACGATCAGGCTGTGAACAAGAGACAGTTGTTTAATTGACAGATCCTCTTAAAGCAGCGTTATGCCTCGAGGACCAACCAGCCATCTCTCCAGTTGTTTGCCTTATGTGTTGATATGTAACTGTCACTTAAAAAGAAATCAAAGGAGACTCTCCAGAACATGAGGTCTCCAGAACAATTCCATTTCTGCAGCACAACAGTCTGAAGAGGGGGTTTGATTGAAAACTGCTTTGTTTTTTCTAGATTGCAGAGCTGCACCGGTGCCTGACGCAGAAGGATGCAGGCCTGAGCACTCTCCACAAGACCCTGCTGTTCTCTGAGCAAGCTTCCTATGACGGGGTCTTTCTGTGGAAAATAACAGATGTTGGCAGGAAGTTACAAGACTCTGTGACTGGAAGAACAGTCAGTTTGTATTCACCAGGTAAAACAAGACATGCACCTGTGTTGGCGAAACCCAGTCCTTTAGGAAACCTCCTGATTCTCTAGAGCAGTGCTCATGTGGACGGGAGGTCCTTCAAAATAGCTCCTTAAACTAAGATGCTGCTTATGCAAAGACCTGATGCTCTCCTGCCTGTACTTCGGGGCAGCTGTGGTGTGCTCTTCCACAGAGTTGTGTTCTGTTTTGGGCTTTCCTTTTGCAATTTGCCCTCCACCTCAGCTACTTGCAGTGACATCTGCTGGATCTGCCTCGTCTCACCCACGCCTTGGTGCCTGCGGTACCGAATGACTTTCTGCTGCAGTTGTCTCCCATGTGGGAAGGAATTTGATTAGGTAAAATCTGCTTGTGTGGCTGATACTGGGTAATTGTCACTGAGGCGTGAGGCAGCAAAAGTATTCCAACCCCTGGATTTTCATTGCTTGTAATCTCCAGGGTGTACTGGTTTGTCTGTTCTCATCTCTCTGGTAGCAAAACACATCACACACACTCTTTTTCCTGTATGTCAGAACACTCATTATGTCTTTTTTTTTTTTTTTTTTGAAGGAGGTTTTACTAATGAAGAGTTCTGATTTTCAGCTTTCTACACCGCCAAGTACGGCTACAAGGTCTGTCTGAGGGTTTATCTCAATGGAGATGGGTCAGGAAAAGGAACCCACGTGTCCCTCTTCTTTGTTGTCATGAAAGGAGACTACGATGCTCTGCTCCAGTGGCCTTTCAGACACAAGGTAAGAAGAACAACCTTTCTGTACCTGATCCCAGCACAAACCCCCTGCTTCCCCCACTGAACACACGGGAACTTTTTCTCTGGGATTTAGTAGAAGTTGGAGTGTTTTCCTATTTTCCTCTCTGCTGGCTATTAGCCATCTTCGGTAATAATTTGTCTCTGAATGGAATGTTTTTACACCCAGGGAAACAAACACTTTTTTTTTTTTTTTTTTTTTTTTTTTGAAGGAGGTTTTACTAATGAAGAGTTCTGATTTTCAGCTTTCTACACCGCCAAGTACGGCTACAAGGTCTGTCTGAGGGTTTATCTCAATGGAGATGGGTCAGGAAAAGGAACCCACGTGTCCCTCTTCTTTGTTGTCATGAAAGGAGACTACGATGCTCTGCTCCAGTGGCCTTTCAGACACAAGGTAAGAAGAACAACCTTTCTGTACCTGATCCCAGCACAAACCCCCTGCTTCCCCCACTGAACACACGGGAACTTTTTCTCTGGGATTTAGTAGAAGTTGGAGTGTTTTCCTATTTTCCTCTCTGCTGGCTATTAGCCATCTTCGGTAATAATTTGTCTCTGAATGGAATGTTTTTACACCCAGGGAAAGCTGCTCTTACCCAGATTCCATACTTTGCCTGGTAGCACCAGAATATTGCTGGTTGATACCTCCCAACCTGTGTCCACCTGGGCTAAAGCCAGAGACACATTTTTTCCTGGCTCTTGCTATCCATAGATAATATCAGTTTACAAGGGAATTATGATTTGCTGTCTGAATCACGGGTGTCAGAAACAGGAGGTTGGAGTTCTGCTTACAAATGTGCTGTAGATGATCCTGATCTTATTTTTTTTCTCATTTTTAAGTGTAATCTGATAATGGCAACAATGGTTAGAAAAGCAGGGAAAGTGTGCACAGGGCTCTGATCGCCCTTCCAGCACTTGCCTCCGTGTGGTAATAATTCCATAAGCCTTTCATATAAATAGCCTTACTACCATTTTGCAGCCAAAAAAAATAGAAATCAAAGTCCCCAGTCCTCACTGTATTAAAAATTACTACATACATTTCATGTTTAAAGCTAAAGAACAGTGAGTTGGTAGAAGTGGTGATGAGATGGGGAGATTCTATACTGATATTTAGGTTGTGTCTTTTAAATATTTGCGTACAGGCAACTGGGCTGTTTCTTTTGATTCCAAACCACAATAACAGAATGAATGTAATGACTGTAACCAAACGCAGGCTTTGTTTAAGTTGTCAGGAGAGAGAGGAAAAAAAAGCCTTTGGACTGCGGAGTTCTCTACCACAAAATAATTCCTTACTTTGTTTTATTTCATTTTATTTTATGGGTGGCAAAGTTTTGAATACTTCATCTGGGAACTGTTACAATCTCCCTTTTCACATGAACTTGCAGGTTGTGAAACAATCATTATTGATTGAGCCTCCAGCTGCTTTTGCGGGATATTTGCGCTTCTGTCTCTGATCTTTTCTGGTTTATCTTTCAGTTCAATAACTCCTGGTTGCCGCGTTCTGTTTTTCAGGTGACATTTATGTTGCTTGACCAAAATAACAGGGAACACATTATTGATGCGTTTCGCCCGGATTTGACTTCTGCTTCCTTCCAGAGACCAGTGAACGATATGAATATTGCGAGCGGCTGCCCCATGTTCCTCCCTCTGTCCAAACTACAGTCACCTAAATATGCCTACGTGAAGGAAGACACGCTTTTCCTTAAATGCATTATAGAAACAAATTAGTGTGTCTTGAAACAAGAATGTCTGGTAGATCACCCACTGAGTTTCATTAGTTTACGAGGAAGAAAACCATCAGTTTGAGAGCTTGTATTGGTTTTTATGTGCACACAAAATGCAGGGAGCCTGAGCCCGTGCTCCCTGAATCAATTCCCATCAGCTGAGGTCTTCCTGCTGGAGTCAGTTCTGCCGAGCGTGCTCTGCCCCGTGCCCCCCCACTGTGTTAGTGCAAATGGGGACTGTGATTATGTCATCAAAACACCTGATATTCCTGCTTTGGATGCAGGTTACGGTCGCCCCAATTTTGGCTGTTCCTCCACCGGGGACAAGGGCAGGTTCCTTCCCCAGAGGCACCGATCAGGTGTCTCTGTTTGTGCTTATTGATGACCTTGAGAGCAGTGAGTTGTGGGGAGCATTTGTAGCTTGAATTCCTTATACCAGATGTTTTATTTCCTGCTATTTATTTTAGATCCATATTTATGTGCTCTGTAAAGAGATGTGCTGTTGCGTCGGCAATCGGTGACCACGTTACACTGTGCCTTGGGGAAATCACCTCTTGTATTTCCAAAGGAGTCACTGGACTTTCCCATTTCAGTGGGATTCCGGTGGGAATTCCGGAGCTGCCAGTCCAAGGAGTGGGAAGGACCCCTCAGTACCTTTGTTTTAAAGTGTTCGGTTGCTCCTTGAACTTTCAAGGCAAGTGACTTACTAGAAAGTATTGATTTTTTTTTTTTTTCTTGCTTAATTCTTTTTATGTGCTCTGATGTTTGGGTCTTTTCACACGCTGAAATGGATGTAACAGCTATAAATGGTTTTGTCTTTTTTTTTTTTTTTTAATAGAGGTAAGGAATGATTTTATCTTTTTTTTTTAAATAAACAAGTCCAGCTTAGAAATGTCCGGATGTGTGCAAAGTGCAAGTGCCCCACCTTACCCCCAACAAGCAGCGAGCCTTCCCTTCTCCATTCCCTGCTGAAGAGCCGTTGGCAGAGGGGCTGGGGCTGAGCTGGGGTTTGGGGCAGCAGTTTCTGAATTTCCAGCAAACTCACCACAGAACAGGCTGTGTGTCCTTCCATGGCTGCAGCGTGCAAACCCTTGCAGAGAGAGGGCAGGTGTGTATTTAAAGACCTTCCCACAATTTCAAGACCTTTCCATAATTGCTTTATTCATTTTTCCTCTGCAATATTTCCCATGGCTCAGCTGAAAGCCGACAGACAATGTTGTGCCCTCTGTGTGAGGAGGGAGAGGAGAAACTGTTTGTCCACTTGCATTTTGCAAACCATGGAAACGGCCGCCGTCCAGCAGAGCTGGTGAAATGTCATGTGCTGGGAGTAACCTCCAGCCCGGCCGCAGGAGATGCTGCAAATCTCTCCTTTCTATCTGGACAGCATCCTTTAAAAATAATTAGTTGTGATGAAGTATCGCATTTCAGAAAAATCCACCTCGTAAACAAACATCTACCCAAGCTTGTTTGAGAGAGAACTGGATATGCTTTGCCATCACACACAAACACTCTCTCTCTCTCTCTGTCTTTTTCTCTCTTCCGTGTTTAAAATGTTCTTTCAGGGACAGAAATTTGTTTTTCCAGTAACGTGCCAGGCCCTGTAACCACACTGGAGTAACGCGCCTAAAAATACTCTGCTTTTCATGGCTGTGTAATTTTGACAAGTGCTGTATTTATTACAATCATTCCTATTTTCTTACGATCTTATTTATTTCCTAAATAAAGCTCACTAACTTAAAAAAAAAAAAAAAGTTTGTATGTTGTTTTCTCTGTAAAATAGGCGAGTGAGTGACTCGGGCAGTGGTTTGGTGTAGAAGCAGCTGAGCTGAACTCACTCGTTTCTGCCGTTTCTGCCCAGGTTTTCTGGGTTTTCTGCCCACCCTCACGTCGTTTCTGCCCAGCAGCGTGGGGCTGGCCGTGCTGGGTGCTGCTGCCCCCCAAAAAACCACCCTGCCCCGAGGGGGTGACGATGCCACGCTCAGCTGGGGTCCTCCAGGTGACACCTTGCCTGGGTCCCATAGGAAATCCATGGAAAATTTGGGAAGGAGCCCTTAAGCATCCGTCCTGCGAGTGCCATGACGATAGGGTCACCCTGTCGTTGCCTCTGGAGGTTGGTGTTTGGAAGACACAGGGGGGTTTGACCCAAAAAATTGAATGGAGGGTGGTAGAGCTCCGACCCCTGTGGCTTTGCCCCCCAGCACAGTAGATGATGGCACGTTCTGGCACCACGAGCTTCTTTCCAGGGCTGTTTCTGGCAGCTGCAGGCAGGGAAGGAGGGAGGGAGGGAGGGAGGTGGTGGCTGATTTGAAGAGAATTACTGCAGATTAAGGTGGTGGTGGGCTCTGTCCGGGTGCCAGGGGGGTGGGAGTTGCTCCAGGCCCGTGTGAGCTTTCCTTGGTCGTGGAGCTTTTCCATGTTGTTTTTTTTTTTTAATTGGCTGCTTTTATCATAGTGGGCATTGACTTCCCAGGGCAGCTTGGCTGCCTCTTTGCTCCGCTCTTACTTGGTTTGGCGCCAAATCCTTTTCCACATTGAGCTGTTATTTCTTCAAAATAATTAGGAGGGTTTTCCTTGTGTGTGTGAGAGAGAGAAGGTGGGAGAAAAATGAGTGAAACCATGTGTGGGTGAGAGCTGGGGAAAGAGAGAAAGAGTGTGGGAGGGAAGATGGGGATGTGTGTGTGCGGGAGAGAATATTGATGTGTGTGTGTGTGTGTGTCTGCATCGAGGGAAGCACAAGCGTGGAGGGGTGGTTTGTGTGTGTGTGTGTGAGAGAGAGAGAGACACAGCCAGCCAAGAGTGAATGACCCAACACCTCCGTGCTTTTCTCTAGAGTGATTCTACCAGGAACAATTACACTGATTTCCTTAAAATCCAGGACTTCACCGGTGGCAGGAGCCCGGGGTGGCTGCAGGCGGGAGGTTGGATCACACAGAAGCAGGACAAGCCGTGAGGAATCAGAGGCTTCCACACCAGCCCAGTAAATCCTCTGGAGAAAGGCTGCTGTGTCCATCCTGGTGTGAGTGGTACCAGCCTGGGCCTCACCTGCCCTGGATGTCAGGATGGAGTGGGCTGGAGACCTCGCTCAGCTTCTGCAGGGGGGGGCCTCCTGGGAGGACGGGGCTGGGGACAGAAAAAGGGACCCACTTGGTAAAAATCAATTATAAAAGTTTATTGGAAGCCCTTTAGTTCCCGTTTTCTTTCCAGCCACTGGGAGATCTCTGAAGGAAAGGATCCCGGGAGGAAAGCCCCAGGGCTGCAGCGTTCACAGGACACTGTGTAGGGCTGGGGTAGAGGTGCCTCTGACCCCTTCAGTAGGAAATCAGCAGGGGAGCATCCCATGGAGCCAGCTTTGGGGATGACTCAGGCCTGGATGGAAATGTCTGCAAAGGGAGGGCATGAATTACTGGTTGTGCTCGTGGGGCCAACAGCTTGTTGGTGGAAAACTGTCCCCTGGACAGGACATAGATGAAGCATTGCTCATTTACAGCAGGTCGCAGAGGCCAGTCGAGCTGCTGTGAGACTTGTGAAAGTTGATTGTGATTGATTCTTTCCTTCTTTCCTTCCTTCTTTCCTTCTTTCCTTCTTTTTTCTTTCTTTCCTTCTTTCCTTCTTTCCTTCTTTCCTTCTTTCTTTCTCTCGGGAATGTCTTTTCTGAGCCATGCTCAGAACTGCAGACGTGTACATAACGTATCTCTGTCAAAATTATGTAAGGGCTCCATTAATATAAAGCTCGCACAGCTGTAAGAACACTTACAAGCTTTTCATGTCTTATGCAATTGCATAGAGGCACGCAAAGAAAGTTAAGTTAAAAAAAAAAATGGGTATGGATTAAATTCATGCTAAATAAACAATAAAAAGGGATGAAACCCAATGCCTAAACGCTCTTCCGCTTAAAGGCACGGCTGGCATAAAGCAGCCCAATGTCAGATTTAACGACTCTGATTCTAATTACAGCCATACCTTTGTTGGAATATGCCCTTTGGTGTATCACTTCCCTCCGAAAGGGCTCGAACAAGAGCGAACTCCCCCCGTGGGGCGGCGCAGGAGGCGCTGCCGGAGCATTACCGCGTCCATGAGGAATGCGTGGAGCCGCCGCGCGTTCCAAACACGGGGCTCCCGGCTCTGCTGTTCCTGGAACAGGCTCCCGATTTTCATCTCCAAGACCTTCGGCCACAAAAAAAGTCTTGATAAGGAAATGGATGACACTTAACCAGGAAAGAAGCTGAAATCAGAGAGATATCAAGAGTTCTCTAATCCAGCAAATCGTTTCTGTCGCAGAAATGAAGAGCCAAAGTGTTTTGTTTTTTTTTTTGGTCTGGACCAAATCAAATGATGCAGAAAAATGAAAGAGTTTTAGTGAGTGAAGTCAGGAGCGGTTGATCTGTGTTTAATGGCTTGGTTAGTCATAGAGCCATAGTGCTTCCGTAGCTACGAGCGTCTAAATAATCAAGGACAAAGTTTGTAGGGAAAGATAAGGATTTTTTTGAGTCGACTAATAAAGCTGAAAAAATCCAGGCAAATTTTTAAGCTTGTGAGCCCTTCCTCAGGGCAGAAAGAGAAATCACAACCTCCCACACAATTGTTTTGAGCGTAACTTGGTTGTGCTGGTCAGTCGGGCGTTTTCAGAGGGAAGGGTTGGCCAAGAGAGAGACAACCATGTCGAGGGCCTCAAGCTGCTTTGGCTGTAGCTGCTTTTACTGGCACAGACGTGTGGTATTTTACCAGATGAAGCCCCAGAGGGGAATGGCACTCGTGCATTGCTTTGAAGAGCATCCGAGAGCTGCGCGGGGTCTCGTGGTCCCACGTCGCGTGGCCGTGGGAGGCTGTGGAGCAGCTGGAGCCAGCGCTGGGTCCTTCCTGCAGATCCCAGCCCCACATGGGGGCTGTCGCTCGCAGGCAGCTCCCTGTTTGGGTTTCCATTCAATATTCCTGGCCTTCGGTTTCCAAGACTACAGGCCAACATCCCACCCCTCCTCCCACTCCTGGTTTCAAAGAAAGAAAAACACTGTGAAAAGAAGCTACCCGATTTCTGGGCACTTTTCAAAGCAGAAAGAAAGGCAGCGGTGGGAGCTGCTCGCCCCGTGCTCACCCAGGCTCTGCTCCGGCCGCGGTTCCCCGGCTGCTCCGTCCTCCTGCGGGCAGGAAAGCACCTTCCCACCTTCACAAGCGCGGGGTGCGGAGCAGCACCGGGGAGTTTTTAAGGCCAGAACGGGGATGTTGGGGTAGGGAGCTCCCTGGGGCTCCATTCAAACGGCTTTGCAAAGGCTGGTTTTGTTTGGGAATTCAATAGGGGGGAAGGAGCCGCAGGGACCAGCCCTGGGAGCCCGCGCTGGCCCCGCGCCCTGGCCCAGGAGGGTGGAGGATGGCGGGCACTCGGCTTTGCACCCTCACCTGGGGTCTCATTCGTGCTGTTGGGAATAGTCTGAGTCTAACGGCTTGATTTAAACGGGGGTTTCCTTGCTTGTCAGCAGGGAGGGAAGGGCAGCATCTCCCACCGAGGTCTCTTCAGCCGGGGGTGTGAGCGTGGCACGGAAATAGTCATGTTGGTGTGAGCCCGGGTGGGTGCTCCTTCCCCAGCTGAGCGTGT